TTCGTTGCTATTTTGATTGGCCGGTTAGCATGTGACAATCACTCAACATTTGTGTAACCATTTTCCAAATTTGGGACATTCACCCCTGTTATCCGTATCCGATTATCCGGATAACCAAATCGCTTGGATATCCGGATAATCTGACGGATAATCAGATAATTATCCGGATATTAGGATATCCGATAGATAAATTGATAAACGGATAATGGATAAGAACACTATTACGTACGTACGTACATTTAATACCTTTTTAATGGGCATATTTAATGTTATTAAATTTCTGTTGTATGTTTGTCCAACGTGTTTTGTGTTTAATTTGTACAGAAATTTATAGAAAAGACTATTCTTGTCAATTAATAAATATTAACAAGAAATATAAAGAAGACTTCAAATGTAAATTAAACTTTATAATAAATATATTGCATAAAATAGGTGTTATAATAGTAATAAAAAAATATTATCAAAAATATGATGCAAAAGTTTTCAATATATCTATATATGGTGGAAGTCAATAGAAAAGGGACAAATTATTTTTAGTAAAATTTTTTTAATTTTTAAATTAAAATATCTTAGAATTATATAGAATTAAAAAAAAATTTTATTAAATTAGATTAGATAGTTGTTGAGATATTTAATTTTAAAGTTAAGAAAACTTTTACTTAAAAAAAATTTGTCCTTTTTCTATTGACTTCCCAAGGTCGTTAACACCTAATGTTTAGTAATTTTTATTCAACCAGAGATATGAATATATGGGCTAGGTCCTGGAAGAAGGGACGAAATTGACAATCTTTTCAAAAGAAAATTTTTACATAAATCAATTTAAAATGATAATTTCTTACTTAAAACATAAAAGTAGTTGTATGGCTCTTTTGATTTATTATAAAATTTATAACATAAAATTGGATTTTCCAAAAATCTTTTTTTTTTGTCAATTTCATATAGTCTTATAATGTTTATACGTATTAGTCATCTGAAAGAATTGTAATTATATCTTGTGATCTTTTTGGTAATTTTTTTTTTGATTGGGAATTGTTGAAATTTGAAGATTTGTTTTTGCTTTCTAATAACAATTTTAATTGTAAATTAATAAATTATATTTATATTTAATGTAAAATTTATATACATATTTATATTTACTTTTACGTGTCATAGCAATTGATTTACGTTTAATTTCTCCACTATCACGTTGTGTAATTGGTACACCAAACTTGATATGAACTTGTATTCGATTAATGGTTATTTCATCTAATTTTTTTCCTCTAAAATTAAAATTTATATATTATATACATATTAAAATTGTATATAATAATTTAATAAATAAAAAATTTTATATACCGATTAATTGCTGAAAGCAATTTTAACTGTTTTCCAGATCGATTTGCATATGCGTGAGCAGCTTCAGCTGCATTTGTATTATTTCCAGCTTCAATCCAGGTATTATAATTAATTTTTGAGCAATGATAATTTAAAGATGCTATAATATAAGATGTACGATAGTAATCAACCCATTCTAAAGTAAATTACTATAATTTAATAAATAAATTTAATAAAAAAAATTATTATTAAATATAAATACATATATACCTTGTACATTATCTTCATTTAAATTTAACAATTGATCGAAAATATTAAATACAGATTCTTTATCATCGCAATTAGGAATAGAATACATTAAACTTTTTGCATATTCTGTAAAATTTTTTTTTCGAATATTTCT